AAAGAGAGTAGTCTTAATATTAGAATAGTTAGTCTATTTTTAATTTTATATAATTGTCTAAATACTTGTTAGTATTTCTCTTAATAAAATAAAGAACAAAATTGCCTAAGTAAAAAAAAAAAAACTTAAAAAATATATAATAGATACAAAACATTATAAATATATTTTATAATAATAGTTTGTTTTTTATATATTAACTTCTTTATATATCAAACTATTATTAATAATAAAAATCTACTAGAAATATTAATAAAATTGTTTATACAATATATTGTAATAAATTATTATAACTTATGCTAGTAGTTAATGTTAATTATTAATTGTTTTTTTAAAAAGTTTGACTTAGACTTTTTTTTTTTCAAAAATTCAGAAAAGCAAAAAACAAAAATTTTATTGTGGATAATGAAGAAGGTTCTTTTACAATACAATGGTTTTTATAGAGGTCAACTAGACTTACTACTAGAGACTCCTTTGTATATTTAACATGCAAGCTAAAAGTGATATTATACAAGATAACTAGCAGGTGAAGTCCTTGTATAAAAAATTTTAGTAAAGAGACAAAAAAGAAGAACTCTTTGTTGACAAAGTTAGTAAAAAAAGACTTAAGAATAGGGAACAATAAACTATTTTGTCTACACACTCCTTTGAGCCTCAAAAAACAATACTCTATCGCAAGCTTTTTCCTCCTGGTCTTCCTTTTTTTCAACAAAAGTAGGAAATCTAGGTTCCCTCTTACAAAAGATTAGCATTGTTTATTCTTTCTATTTTTGGAAATACTCTATGGATGTGCAATCTCATGTAGTAAATAAAGTCACATACTTTGTTTGTTGTTATGTCAGTAACATGATCTTGATGTTATAGGATTTGATTTTCTAAGATAGACTTTATGTTAGAAAGAGAATTATTCAAGATAGGTTATAAGTTGCACAACTTAAAATTTTTAAGCCTGATCCAGGTTATAGGGTACTTGGTTATCTTTTTTCTTTTTCTGTTTTTTGTTCTATATTAGTTTTCTTTATCTGTGGCAGGTTTTTTTAGTATAGACTTTGTTATAGACTATGACCACTTAGGTCTATACAATTTTTAATTTTTTTATATCTTGAGACTAGGTACTAACTTCTCTTTACTTAGCTCCAACTAGGTAGAGAGGGACCTAGGATCTTGATATATAGCTGGGAGTTACCTTTGTTGATCAGATTCTAGGTGTCTATATATACAAACTAAGGTTTTCGTGAGAAAATGGCTCCTGTAGCAGATCAAACTTGAGCATCCTTGAGGTAGCTGAGTTAGTCTGAATTAGTCTAGAGAGAACAAATTAGTATAGTTTTTATATTAGATTGTTTTTTGTTTATTGTTAGCTTTCTCTTAATAAATGGCAAACAAGATCGCTCAAGATATAAAAAAAAAAAAAAAAAAAAAAAAAAAAGTTTGACTTAGAGATTAGAGTTGGAGTTAGAGTTAGAGTTAGAATAGAGATATAGATATATATGTAAAATTATAAGCTAGAATTTTTTATTTAGAAGTCAAATGCTAGTTATCATAATAAAATTTTGAGATATTTATGATTTTATATTGCAACGGTTAACTTTAACTACTGGCACAAGTTAAAAATATCTATTGTAATTTATATATTATAATTGCTTATTTATTTATAAATATATAATTAGTTTTATTTAAATAAAAAATTTAATTTAATAGATATTTTTTAAAAAAGTTACTAAAAATTACTAACTTTTTTCCATATATTAAAACAAAAGTAGGTATGTTAAATATTAGTAATTGTTACTATCGCTATATACTGTACTCAAATAACTAATTAATAAAATTGCAGAATCACATATAACGAAACAATTATTTTAAGAAACTACACTAACACCTATTTCCAACTTAAATAATGTTTAGGTAGTAACAATACCCAAGTGATGCTAGGTAACAAGATAAAATATTTAATAATTGCCATTACTGCACAAACGTGCCAACTCTAAATTTAATAGTCGGGTATCCGCTAATAGTATCGGTCTCCACTGCTATAATAATAACGATAAGCGTAATTTTTTGCCATAACTATCACTAGTTTTTTAAAGCCATTACACAAAATTCGGATCAGGATCAAAAGGCACATGTGAGCCGATGCGATATACAGTTTCAGTCCGGGTACCCCTTGTGGAACACTGCTTTCATGCCTGGATTCGTTCGGACTCTCGCTGCGGAACAACACTACAGTATAAAAACCCAACATTTTAAAAAACTATTTTGTATAAACTAAAAACTTTTAAGTATTTCAATGAAAATTTTATATATACAGTATACACTAATTATTTGATTTTCATTTTCATTTTTTTAAACTTTAATAATAAATTTTTCTAATACATAGTAATGAAGATTTGTTTATTATAATAATTTTTTAATTTTTGGTAAACAAATAAATTCACCAATTGATACTTCGTCTTTCCTTTTTTGTCACATAATTCATAAATTGTGATACAGGATGTGACATAAACTTTTATAAATTGTAGATTAAAGGATACAACGTCTCGAGCAATCTTCAGAACTCCTTCAGCGCCCCCAATGAATTCCCACGTTGTAAAAAAGGGATACATTTCTGTGAAGGAGGACGGTTTAAGAGCCTGGATTTGGTCAAAACGATGGATGCTACTCAGAGAACAGACCCTCACTTTTCATCGTAACGAGGTAGTCCTTTGAACTCATATATAACATCTATCAAAGCACTAAAAAGCATAAATATACAACATTAACATTTCATCCTTTGCCATGACAGAATACTTATCAAGCCGTTGCATTGATTTTCCTCAAAGAGATTACTAGTGTTCAGCGGACTGAATTGAAACCTTACTGCTTCGAAATTCAAACTAAAGACAAAACCTATTATCTTTCTTGTAAAAATGACGAAGAATTATACTCATGGATGGACGAAATTTACACGGTAAGAGAGTATGAATGGTTCCTAAACTTGTTTCGTGTATAAAGAGTATTATTTATTTTTTATGTGTGATATTGAGTGAATTAATATCATACAAATATAACATCAATGTACTAATATTATACAGTAAACGTATAATAGTATTCTATCAATATTTGGGCAAAACCTCCTCTAACGACTAATTACATAATAATAATAATATTTTTCATAATATCTAGCGATCACCGCTCAGTGGTGTTTCAAATCCAACAAACTTTGTACACAACGTACATGTAGGATTCGATCCTGTTAGTGGGTTATTCACTGTAAGTTTTTTCCGTATATTTAATATGCTATTTAAAAAAAGATAGAAATATTTTTCAATCGTTATACTTACAAGTTGAATTTTTTATAGGGAATGCCAGAACAATGGACCAAACTTCTTACATCATCAGCTATCACCAAAGAGGATTATGCAAAAAATCCTCAGGCCGTTCTGGATGTACTAGAATTTTACACCGAAAATCAAAAACGAGAACAAGAAGCATATGGACAACATGGCCTTTTGGGGCCAATTAGTGGGTTTCCAAACGCAGACGATAAATGGGCCGATCTACTGCCAAAAAACAATAATAATATGCCCCAGAAGAATCAACTATACCCTAGCCCTACTGGCGGAACTAATGGTTATGATATGTCCAAGATATCACCAGTAAACAGCATAGATATGAATGGCCAACCAATGCATGCTAGAACCCAAAGCAATATGATGGATTTTTCTAGAAATAATAACGACTATGTAATTATTTCAATTTTTATTTCAATACATTTTATATATCATGCTGTGGACTATTATTTACTCTATATAATTTCATTCTATTAGCAACCAGTAACTCCACCTAATCGTCCTCCAATCACACCAAGACCGTCTCATACTCTAATCTCAAACAATGCGTCAAGTCAGGGTCCAGTAACTCCGAATGTAAATTTCCCTTTTAAAATACTTTATTTCTCATCAATGATTGATTAATAAGTTTATTTGTATTAACAATACAATCAGCTTCAACAACCCGAGAGATTCCAGCAGTCTCATCCACAATCACAATCATCAGCTTCTCCGAAATCTTCAAATTACCCACATCCTTCACAACAACAACAACAACAACGTACACCTAATCCTAATATTCCTAAACAACAGCAACCTCCCCAACAAGCTGTACAACTACCTAAACAACAAGCGCCATCTCAGGCACCATCTCCATCTAAACAATCTGCACCAAAGAAATCTGCACCTGAAAAAAGAATCAGTACAATGACTGAAGCACAGATTATGGAAAAGTTAAGATCTGTAGTTTCTCCTGGAGATCCTACAGCTTTGTATAGTAAAATCAAGAAAGTTGGTCAAGGGTACGCATTATTACTATTAATTTTTATAGGAAAAAATAAAACAATTATTTATCTAAAAAATTGTTTTTTCATCAGTGCATCCGGATCCGTATACGTTGCAAAATCTCTCCAATCTAACGCTAAGGTCGCTATAAAGCAAATGGATCTTTCGCATCAACCACGAAAAGAACTTATTGTCAATGAAATTCTTGTGATGAAAGAATCCCAACATCCAAATATTGTCAATTATCTCGATTCATTCTTAGTAAAAAGCAATGAACTTTGGGTTGTCATGGAATATATGGAAGGTGGAGCGTTAACGGACGTTATTGATAATAATACGCTAGAAGAAGATCAAATTGCCGCAATATGCTTTGAGGTACAAAAGATTTACGTTTATTTAAATTTATAACAATTTTATTCGCTTTTCTAAATCTATTATTTTATGGTATAGACATGTAAAGGTCTTCAACATCTCCATGGCCAGAATATTATTCACCGTGATATTAAGAGCGATAACGTTCTGCTGGATGCATTCGGCCATGTTAAAATAAGTAAGATAAATTCTTATTCTTTATTTTATTTAGTTATTGTTATTTTATGTAATTGGTAACAATTTATCTTTTATTTTTTTTATAGCCGATTTTGGATTTTGTGCCAAGTTAACAGACCAAAAGAACAAGCGAGCGACAATGGTTGGTACTCCATATTGGATGGCGCCTGAAGTTGTAAAACAAAAGGAATATGGTGCCAAAGTTGATATTTGGTCTCTCGGTATCATGGCTATTGAAATGATCGAGAATGAACCACCATATTTAGATGAAGAACCACTCAAAGCATTGTATCTGATTGCCACAAACGGGACGCCAACTTTGAAAAAGCCCGAAAAATTATCACGCGAATTAAAAAGTTTTCTTGCAGTCTGCCTTTGTGTAGATGTTAAAAGTAGGGCAACCTCATTGGAACTCTTGGAAGTATGTAATCTCTGCTTTTTTATCTAAAATGAATTTAAAAAAAATTAATCCTGTTTATTAATTGCATGGACTATTATTTATTAACGTAACCCATTTTATTTTTACAGCATGATTTTCTTAGAAAAGCCTGTCCGTTATCAGATCTCGCACCTTTGCTTAAATTCAAAACCGCTAAGGATGGCAGGTCATAAAGTATTTATATATTTAAAATGTTTCAACTTTTCAAGATGATAGAAAATTTAAATTATATTCATACAAAATTTGGTTTTGAGTCATAGGTTATTTCATATTCAATAATGGAGTTATAGATAATATTTTATTTGGTTAATTTTGAAGGTTATTTAATATTGATATTGATTTTATGTACAGTATATGAAACTGTACATTATTGCAGGTGAATTGTGATGTTGTATATATTTCTATATACTTTTTTGTTCATTACTAAAACCTTTGGTCTTAAAAAGTTTTATTTATACAATATTTTATATAAATACAAACCATTACTCATTTTACATTACAAATACTACAAATATTTTAAATTTAATATATTATAATACTGCTTAATAGAACTACAGTATTTGGTAATAAAAGAACAATTGTTATTTAAAAAAAATTTTTTTGTTTTTGTATATTTTATTTAAATTATATCAGATTTGAGTTAATTAATTAATTAATAAATTGCAAATATAAAATATATATCATTTATATTAGACTTATTATATATTTATTTGTTACTATATTTTATTTTGTTTATTTATTATATTATATATAATACTTTATATAGTATTTTTATAAATTTTGAAATTATTTTAATAATTTAAAAAGTAAAACATAAAATTTAAGCTTTAAATATCTTCAAATTTATAAAATATAAATTGTATTATTATTTTTTTTTTACAATATTAATCTACTTGTTTTCTATTAATACAGAAGTATTTATATTTTACTTAAAAGTTTTAAAAAATATAAATAAATATAAAAAGTATAAAAATAATTTTTTAAATATATTTTTTAATATTTATTTTTGCACTATACTTTTACTTATAATTAATCAAATAATATTGTTACTAGGCTTAGCCAACAATAACTAATATTTTAGAATCTATAATAAATTGTTTAATTTGATAGCAATATAAAATATATACTAATTGTAATTAATATTAATTAATAATTCTAAATTATTCAATACGATTTAGCCTATAACGATTTTTTATCAATTTATAAGAACCGTCAGTTACGTTATTACTATATAGTGTTGGTTGAATATATATCGATATATAGAGGGGTGTTAGTAGAAACCAAGTATCTTGTTTCTAAGTAAATTTTTTTCAAAATTCAAATATTTCGACAACTATTAAACCAAACTTATTAATTTTTTTTATTTATTTTAATTCTATATAGTTTTAGAATTAAAACAAAAAAAAATTTATCAAGTTTGATTTAATAGTTGTCAAGATATTTTAATTTAAAATTTTAAAAAAACTTATTAAAAACAAAATACTTGGTTTCTACTAACACCCCCTCATATATATTTCTGTAAATTTTTTTTTTTTTATAAAAGATTAAAATGCAAAAGTATATATTCTCAAATTTGTTATAATGAACTTTTCTGTAACAAATATTCAATAAATTCTTTATAAAACATAACTATAAAGGGCTTGTATGAATCGGTCAATGGTCAAGCTTTGTCAAGGGGTTTAGTGTTAGTCAAATTGGTCAAATGATATATACTGAACAGATCAACTTTTTGACCATTGACCAGAAAATTTTTGGTTGACCAGTGATTTAAAACATAGTAGGTAAATTACCGTATAACAAATTTTAAAGAATTACATTTAGTTATAAAAGTTGACTATATGTCAACAGCTTTCTATAATAATAAACAATGGTCTAATTACATATCGATATTTTTTACTACGTATCAGTTATATCATCACGTATGCATAATGTCAATAAATAAATTTGATTGGCTGTTACATTTATATAATGTAATTCCGAGAAAATTTATTCAAAACAAGCGAAGATACGTGGTTATTTATTTTTTAACGCTTACGAGAAAATCAACATGAATTCCGAAGAAATTGCACAATATCAATACCAACTTGATCAAGTTAATCTTGCATTGAAAAACGATCCCGAAAATTCTGAACTCTTGAAATTAAAAACGGATCTAACAGAACTCATTAGTTTAACATCAACTATTATCGACCAAGAAACTGTTCCACCAACTCCAAAAAGGTCACCTTCGTCTATTTCACCCAAAAATAATTCTACACCAATTACACCGAATTTAAATTCAATACTAAGCTTTACAAAACCTCTTCAAGTGGGAGATAGTTGTTTAGCACGTTGGTCGGGGGACGGCCAGTTTTATCCAGCTCAGATAACGGCTATTGGTGGTGGTGATCAAGTTTTTTCTGTTGTGTTTAAAGGTTTTAATAACGTTGAACTTGTTAACGTTCAAGACATTAAACCTCTGGAAAAGAATAAAAAAAAGACATTAGCTGATAGTAAAAAGGAAAAAGAGCATAAGAAAAAGAAAGCTGGTGAAGGTCAAAAGAAAGTTAATGAACAGGTGGCAAAACAAAAAACTTGGTTAGCATTTGCGAGTGGTCCTTCTGTGGCTCCTGGAAAGAAGACGACGAAAACGAAAAGACTGGTACAACCTCCAATCAATAAGAGAAGTATTTTCGCTACTCCTGAAAATCCAGAAGGCAAAGGTCTGGCATTTGATCTCATTGAAAGCTTTAAAATATGATTTCATTGATAATTAATAAATATTAATGTTTTTTAGTTGGCGTGGTTGGGAGCGGTAAACCCATGACACAATTTCAACAACGTGGTAAACATATCTTTGATCGAGATTAGTTTAAGTCTGAGACTGAGACGGAATTTGTTCTTTCTTTTTTTTCTTTTTATATCCTCTTCCCCAATATGGATATTTAATAGACCAAGCGAGAACATTATTCAAATTTGTTGAAATTGGATGATGCTATGAATATAGGGCAGTAAGAACATTTTGTTTCGTTCTTTTATTTGATCTTTAATTCAAGAACATTATGATTTATACCTTATTTGTATCATTCAACATTTATCCATATCCGAAATATATATAACTTGGGACAAAGAGATTATATATACAATTCAAGATATTGTGGTTGGGTTTAAGCAAAGGTAATAATATCTATAAAAAAACAAAAAAAAAAAAAAAAAAAAAAAGGTTGTATGTATTCCTGCTTTTCAATGAAAGTGAGAAATTTACAGTTTGATTCAAGTACAATAAATGTTAACAATTTTCTTACTACAAATTTCATTAACAATTTTACCAACTTTATGTACTATCGCTTAATTTTTTTTCTGATACCATACAAGCTGTAAATAATATTCTATTTCAATAATTGTGCAAAATATTTAAAATATTTGTAAAAAGTTACATTTTTATTTTATGCATTTATATATCTCCCGATCTGATAGAGTTGAAAGAATCGTATTTCTTTTTGTAATCAATTTGTCGTTTGGAAATATCCAACCACTCGAAAAATTCACACTTTTGACCTTCATTAACCCTTGCAGCATAACACATATAAAAATATCGGCCAATATTTGAACTTCGCATAACTGGTTTTAAAACACATAGAATTCCACATGAACAATTTGGAGTCCATTCGGCAGTATATTCATCTCTGAATTGTCTGAAAGTGATGTTTATCCTCTTCGGACCTGCGATTGGATGGATATTATCAAGAATATTTTGTGAGCATACTTCATGTTTCCAGAGTTCTTGACATGGCGGCCACATTATAAGAAGTGAATTATGAGGAAGAGGGATGGATATGATTCTGGACGGTTTTTCATCAATTCGACGAAGACGAAATTGGCGCGTGGTGCCAAGCGATAGCGAACCAATTATAGGACGTGGTCCAAGATGTGTCAACTACAAAAATAGATTTCAACTGTAATTTTGTTTTTTGATATCTAGGAGATTTGATATTAGTAATACGTACTTGATCGCTGTGCCAACCAACACTTTCTATTTAAGAAATATATATAAATTAGATTTGTATTCGGAAATCAATAATATTAATTAAATGATGAATACCTTTTGAATTCGCGTAGCAATTTGCCTTTATAATAAAAATTTGTTATCAAATGACCATGAACACCCCGATTCAAGAATTTATTGACAATAATAATTTCTTACTGCTGCAACATTTGGATTCCATTCGCCACATATTTAGAATTCATGACTTTCGGTAATCATCACGTGATATGTGATTAAATGCTGTGTTACAGTGTTGAAATAGCAAAACGGTTTATCAATAGCAAATGTTATTTACATCACCCTGTTCTTGCGTTTTTCGTTAACAATGTTCTTTATGATCTCCCTTGCTTCTTCCATTTCTGGTAAAAATCGCCGCGCATTCACAGTCTTTTTACCGTTGTAATAAACATCTCCATCGTAAATGTTCTTGACTTCGTTAGAAATGTAAAAAGATGATGTATGTGGAGAGGTAACCATTCGCTCGAATAACCACCATTGATTTCGATGCCATGTCTCAGATTCTTTAAGCATAGCTTTTAATAAATAATTTGCCAATTCCCTTGGTAGTACATCATGAATAAGTGTACATGGTGTATTTGCACTAATATCTTGCGGCCTGAATAACTGTAATACAGGTTGAACATTTCGATGTAATTTTTTAAAGTTGGTTGTCAAAGGCAGTGTTGTACGCGGACGTTGTCCCGTCAAAATTGCGCGGACACGGACAGTCCCGGACAGTGTCCCATGTCCCG